GTAGACCGAGGTATCTGTGGAAATCAGACCGAGCTAAAAGATAGCTCGGCAGGAGGTCATTCCAAAGACTAGGTTGACTAAATTGACTTAATTAGCACCGAGCTGTGTAAACACGGTTATGTCTTGTGCTAGCCAGAGTAAGAGTTGCAACTATCTCACTTAGACAAGCAGTGAGTAAGGAGTTATTAGAATATGCATTATTCTTGGGAATGTAATTCCTAGGAGGACTCTGCTAAGGAGAGTAGAGTCCTACTAGGATTGTGCAAACCATCTCACTTGGTTGGTAGTGAGTAGGAGTGTGACCCCTAGGAGGACTCTGCTAAGGAGAGTAGAGTCCTATTAGGATTGTGCAAACCATCTCACTTGGTTGGTAGGGAGTAGGGTGTGTGATTCCTAAGAGGACTCTTATAAGGAGAGTTGGAATCCTATTAGGATTGTGTCAGGCAGAGTCTATAAAAGCTCATAGCAGGACCTGTGTACAGGTATCCCAATTTTTACTCTCAAATACACAGAGCTTTTGTGTCTATTTACTGACTTAGGCATCGAAGAGGTTTCTGGCACACACCCGCCGGCTAGCTCACGTTTGTGATTTCAGGTAGTAAAGCGACGAAGTTTGGAAGAGTGCAAACTTGATCAACAGGATTATACAAGAAGATTATTTCGTGTTTGTACATATATTAAGTGTATTCATTCATTTCTTTTTACCTGGATGTGATTGTTGAAATTGTGAACTACATCTATACTCCGAACAAACACTACTTTTATTCATTGACTTAGCCTTCAAACAAATAGTTAAAAATTCAATAATTTTTTTCTTTCATTAACTTAGCCTTCAAACAAATACCCAAAAAACACAAATGAAAGAGAATTACACCAACACTTAACAATTCATGATCGATTCATAACAAAATCCCCAAATTTTCATAGTTCTAGGATATGATAAATAAATAAATAAAACTCCAAATATGCACAAAGAAGTTAAAAATCAAGTATAGGAAACAAACAAGACTCATATTTTTATCCCTTTATAATCGGAGATGGTGTTCTTGTAAGAACTTGTAGCAGAAATTGCGATAAAAAAAAAAATGTAGGCTCTATTTGGAAGAGCTTTGGAATTGTAGTTTCACCTCTTGATTTGCACGTGGTGTTTGGTTAGAGTTTTCAAAAATTAATTTCACACCTACGTTTGAAAACTACTTTGTAGGCGAGAAAATTTGGCTAACTCAGTTGTTCTCCCAACCGATTGACCGGAACAGTGTTTGTTTGTTTTTTTTTTTTTTCACCTGTTATTTTTATATTATAAATAAAAAATATTTCTAGAATTTTTTTTAAAAATTTTATGAGCTTTAAATAGGATTTTGGGTTGTGTATTTGGTTATGAGTTGTAAATTTTTGAATTAAATATCATATGTCACATTATTCATTTCAAACTCAATTCAAAACTCTTTCAAAAACTCATAACTAAACAAGTTTTCTACACTCAAATCATAATTTCAAAACTCACAAATTCAAAATACAACTTTATTCTCAAACCATATTTAAAAAATTTTACTAAACGCTGCCTTAAATTTTCTTAGAATACATGTGAAAGCGGCAGCATATAAATTGCCAACCGTCGAAAACGTGAGACAAAGAAGTTTTTTTTTTCCCATTTGAGCCTAATGTGGCCCAATTGGCGTCTAAATTGTAACTTTTTATTAAATTCAAAATAAATTAAGAAAAAAATTTATTTATAGCACAATCTTAAAATGCATTATAATAATTAGAATAGAATATTGAATCAAAACTTTATTTCTTGAAATACATAATTACATTTTTTTTTTTTAACAACATAATCACATTGATTATGAGTAAAAGCCATATTACTTATTTAAAGGCCAGGTCAGTTGGGCCTATAATTGGGCCTGGACCAGACCCAAAAAACTAGACAAACCCAACTTCTCTCTCTCTACTGTGAATTACCTTTTGTTCTTGGAGAACTTCCATGACGATCTTAGGTTAGTTTTCTAGCCTCGTTTGACAAGTTAACATTTTAGTTAAAAAGTTAAAAAATTATTAAAAAAAATCAAAAATTCTATAATTTATACCAAAATATTAAAAATTTCATATTCTCTCTACTTTTTACACATCTTTTCATAAAAAATCAAAAAATCACCTTAAACATATTATTTTTTTTATCTCATATTTTAGTCAAAAAATCAAAAAATTACTAACGAGGCCTTACTCACTCTCGTTCGTCTCTGCTGTCTTCCTATTTTTAGTTTCTTATTTGTTTAGGCTTCTCTATCTTTTTATTTATTTATTTATTTATTTATTTTTTCTTCTAAGTTTGCAATGATTGAGAATTGGAGTTGTAAATTTTATCTAATTCAGTTAAGATTGTGGGTTTTATGCTATTCTGCAATGTGGGAATTTTAATTACAATTGGTACTTTCTTGGAGATGGAGATAGAGAAAAGAATATAATGGCATGTTTGGGTTTCTTCTTCTATTTCTTGCTTTTGTGTCTGATGGTGTCCGTGAGGTGTTTGTTAAAATGTCAAGCTGAAGATGCTCATCTGCATAATGAAATGGTGGGTCTTGACAATGATTTGGGAAAGGCCTTTGTTTTTTGTTTCACTATCAAATCAAACCAAACCAAAGCAAGCTTGGTGTCCCTATCAAGTGGGTTTTTTGTTATTGCTTTTGAGTAATGATGATTTTTTTAATGGCATTGAATTGGATGTCTGTTTGGTTTTCTTAATACTTTTTTACAGCATTTTCGTTCAAAATTACTTTGTAGGCAGCACAAACTCTAAATTGAGCCTGTTTAAGAAGAGCAAAAAACCAATTCTAGGGGCCACAACTTCACTGGTTTGAAACCTTTTCAGTGTTTGGTAAAGCATTTTAGAAGTACATATGCCAACCTTTACTCGATAAAAATTCCCAAAACCTGGTTAAAATCAAACCAAGTTGGCTGTTTTTTCAAAATTTCTGATAAATTAATGAAAGTGGAGCTGACCTGGTCCAATTTTTAGATTACCCAAAGCAAAGTATATAATGAAATTGAACTGTTTTTCATTCTTAATTTTAGGAAATGAATGACTATCATTTTCCTTTTATTTGAGCATTGTCATGTTTGCTTTATCTTATGAAATTCTTCTCAAAAGTTCCCCCTCTTAAAAAAAAACTTCTTCTCCTTCCCTTAATGTATACCAGATTGCTTCTATAATCTTGAATATATGTCTTTCATTTATTATTTTATTTCAAACAAAGTCAAAGAGGATGAAATAGCGAAAAATATAAATATTTAATTTAGGTCCTTTACTCTAATGACCTTTTTGAATAACAAAAATGTCCATCAGGTTTCAACTAATTGTTAACTGCCCAACTGTATGGTGATTCTCTCTCTCAGCTGAGAGTTGTTGGCAGAAAAGTAGTTCCCTCCCGCCGATGCTAGTAAAGATCTTTCCATGGCATCATTCAAGATGTTAGTGTATGATTAGCTTTAGCATGTTAGTGTATGATTATGTTAGTGTATGATTAGCTTTAGCATGTTAGTGTATGATTAGCTTTAGCATGTTAGTGTAGCTTTAGCTTTATCTTTTATAATGTAAATTCTTTATGCTTTCGGTGAGCATCCAATGCATCACATTCTCTCTATAAAGAGAGTGCATTCTCTTTGTAAGATACATACAATCACAGACATTGTTTACATAACAATTCTCTATTCTCTCTCTCTCTATCAAACTATTGTTTACATAACAATTCTCTATTCTCTCTCTCTCTATCAAACTGTTATTTTACATGGTATCAGAGCCCAGGTATACAATTCTGGCATTTTTCAATTTTGGTGTTTAGTCCCGTATACAGTGGAACTATACCAAACAGCTCGGAATCTTCTTACGATTCCAACGGCACCATGCACGTCATCAGAAACCTCGTAACGCGCTCTCACGCGCCTCTTTTGTGATCGGCGCGTCACTTCTTCCGTCGCCACTCTCACACGCGCCTTCACGCGCCTTCAGGCCTGCTACTGTGCACCCGCGTGCGCCATCCCTCTACCGTGAGCCGCGCCTGCGCCGTTCCACTATCGTGCACCCGCCTGCGCCATCCTGCTATTGTGAGCCGCGCGTGCGCCAGTTTTGCTAACGTGCGCCGCTGACATCATCTTGCATTTTGCTGACGTCATCTCAACACAGCACACCTTTCCTAGCTATTTTCGACCTTCTGGACTCATTGGTACACTCTGTTTTACCTAATTTTGCTCCTACAAGTCTATTCCTATTAATTTAGTCTGCCTCAACTAGTATTATGGATCGTCATGATGCCTCACATCCCATTTCCGTTATTTTGAATGGTTCAAACTATGTTCTGTGGGCTCAAGCCATGTCCTCCTTCCTGAAAGGAAAGAAGCTCTGGCGAATTGTCACCGGGGATGTGACTAAACTGGTGAAAGACAGTGACACTAATGAAACTACTGCTTCCACTGCTACATATGAAGACCGACTTGAGGAATGGGACAGTAAGAATTACCAAATCATTACCTGGTTTCGTAATACCTCTGTTACCTCTATCAGTCTTCAGTTTGGTCGCTTTCAGCTTGACTCTGTAACTACTCCTGCAAAAGACATCTGGGATTTTTTGAAAGAACAATACCAGACTACTTTTCTGAAACTTGACATGTGGTTAATTTTTTTGTTTTCTATTTTATTTTATTTATTTTTTGTAGTTGTAAAAACTATAATAAAATAAATAGCATATTTGGTATACTTAATTCTCAAACATATAAAAACTAAAACAAAAAAAAAATCTTTGGTAAGTTATCAAAAGCAGGAGTGATAAACGAGCCGAACAATTAATTTCCTTGCTCAAAAAAAAAAAAAAAAAAAAAAAAAAGCGAAAGAAAAGAGAGGACCAATAAATATACTATCCTAGTGAAAAATGCAAGAAAAACGCAGCACAGTTCTTCAATAACAATGTCATCAAAATTGCACTAGAAAGCAGTACCAAAAATTTGAGCATGCCTTTAAACCACAAATATGTTCATGAAATTATTTATCGGAAAACCAACTCTAAACAACGTAACCAATGCCCTATCTCTCATATTACACCAGTTTTCAATTAAACTGAAATGGAGGTTCATGGTAAAAATAGAATAATCACGTCATAGACAAGAAAACACGAATTGCTAATAGAAATTTTTAAGAGACAACAGACATGTCATAATATCCTACAGTTTACCTGATATATCCTGCCAACGTACGCAGCCCCATAAAAAGAGCCAAGCCTGCCCACACACCATGAAGACCAAAAATTGAAGGAACATATAGCAGAAATGAAGAACATATTGCCCCTACCACCATCTGTAATTTATTTAAAAGTTGTTAATAGAGGCCATTGTACAATCTTCACAGCCAGCTAATAACATCTCAGAGAAATTTAACTATATAACCTTACCATGGAACAAGCTGCATATGGGAAGTCTGAAACACCATAATGGAGACCATAAAAAATAAAAGCTAGAGCATTTACAGGTTGGCTGGCACTGACAAACTGTAACAATTTCAGGAAACGCTACACAAGAAAGATCTTAGCACTTAACCATTCAGATAAACTAACAAAAATTGATAGATAGGATGACATGGCGAGCAAACATACCAAAACCCCAGTTCTGACAACTCCTAAGACTTCAGCATCCTTAGTGAATAAGGTGGCTAAAGAACCAAAAGATAAACCCAAAATTGCAGCCAAGGAAACCTTGTGAGCAATCCTATCTGCAAAAACATGTGAATAAGATTTGAACCACTATCAAGAAATATTGCAACTCCAACACAAAGAGCCTAAACACCTAGTAAACCTAAAATCCATTTGGTCCTAAGTAGAAGAATGCCGAAGCATAATGGGGAGGCATACAGGAATGACTAACCTTTAACGCAAAGTTTGCAACCTCCCTCGAAGTTCTGTAATCACCTTTTGAATAAGAACTTGCAATCAATGCCTACATGAAACACAATTTTGATTTCAGAGAGGAAAAACACACACTAAACTCTGTAGATGCACAGTTTTTTTTCCTAGTGACAATTCTGGCAGTTTTGAGTGGAGTCAGCATCAACAAGCAACGTCCCATCCTAACTCAGATAATATGACCATAGAGATTGTAATGAGACCACAAGTCCAAACAAGTAGATATGTATTGGGAGAGCATATATCAAACATTCTTTACAAACAAAATTTTGTACCTGACCAGATGCCACCAATGCATCTGTGAGGAGAGATACAGCCAACCATACTTGTAAGCATATTTGATGAGCAGCCATAGCTACTGTAACGCCCTCAAAAAATACATAAAACCCATCATTCTTGGCATGCAACAATATAAGGAAAATAAACATCTTTCTATTTATCAGAGTAATTCTTACAAAAGTATTACATGTTGACAACAAAAGTAAACGCCCTAAAAGCTTACAACTTTCCAAGCCAACACTTGGTTACAAAAAAA